GGCAGCGCCGGGGGCACGGCGGGTGTGCGGAGCTGTAAGGTCGCCCTTTAGGGACAAATTTTAAATGCCACCTTAAAATTAATTCAAAACGAGAGCCTTGGCACTCCTCAGGGCCTGTATTTCCATTCCCTTTTTGAAACAAAAAGTATTAGTAACAAGACAGTTTGCATGGAAACAGGAGTAGGTCTTTCCAAGAGTATCTGCTCCCGCTACTGTTTCCACAAGGAACACCACAAGCTTTTAGTTGCAATGTCACAAGTGGGTGCAACAGGAAAACATTCTGATGTCCTGCAGAGGGTTATGATGTCTGTGGGCAGGAAGAAGCATGGGCACACGATGAACCACATAATTTGAAAATAGTAATAACATGTGAACATGTGCTGAGGCAAAATCAAAGGATGTGTTATTTACAGAAAACTTTCCCAACAAAATGCCTTTTGCTAACCTCTCAGGTAGCCTTCAATTCAAAAACTGATACTGCCTGAGAGCATTCATTTGCAATACAGCAGTCAGATGAAATAAAATATTAGAAAATACACAAGCTGCCAGGTACACAGCTTGCTTACAGCACTAGCCTCTGTAAGACAGTAGTTAGCAGGCCACAGTGTTGTTGCAAGGAACGGTACAGAAAGGACCTGCAGAGGCCAATCGGTATGCTTACAGCTAGGCTTAGAGCTAGGCAAGTGCTCTGTCACCTTACCACAAAGTGGGAGCGTGCCTCTGTGGCTAGTGTGTTTTGGCAGGCAATGCCACCAAAAAATGCCAGAAGATCACTTTGCATATTATGCCTCTGGCTGCTGCCTGTAAATGGAAGATGAAAGGTGGCCCCACTTCAAAGAACATAATGAAGCTTACTATGATGGCAGGCATGTCAGTACTTAACCTATAAAAGAGTTATGGTCTAGTCAGAACTAATAATATGAACAATCGCTAATTTCTAGCAAAAAATCTATAACTCAGATACTGTATCTCCTGTAATTACTGTTACTGGTGAGTTTTCATAAGTTTCAGTGCTCTTTTAAATAGAAACAATGGCTACATTTTAGTGCTTTCCCCCCCACTATAAAATTCCCATCAGGTTACGCTTTTTAATCCAAGTTATGTTTTATAATGAATGTAAGGAACTACACATAGTAGACCCAGTGTTTAACAATTTATGAGGGCTTAGGAAGAAATGAGATCCCAGATTTTCATTTGAGCACTATGACTGATAAATCTGCTAGATTTTGAGATGGATGCATTACTCACAAGTTGTGGAACCCCAGTGAGTTATGCGGTTCTTCCCAAACAAGTAACAATAAAATGTTTATAGCACCCAAAAGCATCATATATTGTGTTCATAGCATTTATTTTGTTTGATATTTTCCTCTTAAAAGTCTGCTTCTGATTTTCCTCTTTTCATGTAGACTAGCAACTCCAGAAACAATGATGTCATTCTTATACACAAAGTTCAGCAACATCCAGAAGCATAGCATAAACTCAGTTTAAAGATTTGAAATGTATCTTATGATTTGGGAAGCACAGGCATTTGTGTGAGGTTTATATACGCGTTTGTACTATCCACTGCAGTATACAAACTTGCAGACCAGATTTTCGGAACATTTAGAAATAATAGAACTATGAAGAAATAACCCATTAAGTTAAGTCCAGTTACATGAGTTATTTATTGCTAATGAATTGTTTTAACTCAAAGATATAGCATATTTTAGCCTTTTTTATTTAGTTATACAGATGGAGACATTCCAGTGGATTTCATTACTGATTTGTGTATGTAGTAAGTGCACCGCCTGTTAGTTCATGATAGAACATGCTAAAATATGATCTATGAAAGATAAACAGACCAAAAAGGAAAATACAGCTATATGGCTGAAAATCTACTGTTTTCTTTACTGCAGCACCTTCCACCTAGAAATGTGGAACGGCTAACATACTGGAAGACTGTACACTTCTGACATATAGCAACCCATGAAAGTATAAGACATTCTGTGTAGAAGTCATTGCAAAACCAAAGCTCTGGGATTCATACCTTTTTTTTTTTTTTTTAAAGTGCCATGGAATCCTTCCCTGCTAATTTGATATGCTGTTTTGAAGTGTTGGTATTTCAAAGTTGCTTGCAGGTACGACTCACCTAAGATGATCACTTAATCAAATACTTAATCCCTATTTATCCTCAAGATAAACTCCACTGAAGACAATGCTAGATATTTGCTGTTTGCTGCGTGGGGAGTTAAATATCAAGTGCTGCATCAGTGCAAGTTTAGATCAGCATGTTTCTTACATCTGAGAAGATCTGAGTGGAGTTAGAATGGCAAGATCTACACTTTCCCTGGTCCTTCCATTGAAAATAGCAGTGGAAAGAGATCAGAAATCGAAAAAATACAACTTGTTACAGTTACCTCTGCCTGCTTATTCTCCCAGTACACCTAGGCCATGTCTTTAGCCCCTGCTCATCTTTCTATGTTGAATCTTTCACTCTCAGGCCTGACCTCATAAGGCTTTCCTATGTCCCATCTGCGATCCAGCACAATAGGTCCGACCGGCTCCAGAACCAGAACTCCCTTTCCTGTGAGGCTGTGAGAGTGACAATCTACAATCAATGAGGCTCCTAATAACTAAATGTTTATGGAGAATGAAAGTATTTTTGAGAAAATAATAAAAATAAACATACGTATTTTTATCTCTATGCTAAACCTGTGAATGAGGGAGGCACACCTCAGATTTCGTCTCTGCATTCTGCTAGGCAAATACAAACAAATGACACCCTTACCCTGCTGAAAAAGTGCTTCAACATTTTGGTGAATTGATCTGATGTCTGCATCCCAGGATGGCCAAAACAATTTTGCAGTCAATTCCTGGCATGACTCCTACCTCTATCTGCCTACTGGCTTAACTTGCTGTCATTCAAGTGTATTCTGGGATCCAGCGTGTCTCTCTCCTCTTTGTACAGCCCCCTGTTAAGGTACATGGAAAGTCTCATACAGCAGTGTACCAGAATGTCCCTTGTTCCATAACTGAGCCTCAGAGAGTAATACTGCATCTCACAATTCATAATATTTTGTATCAGCTTCATGACGGCACAAAGGGTACTTTGGGCACATAGTTAACCATCACAAGCAGCTAAGATATCAGTTTTGCATATCACACCAAAGGCTGCAGGAACCCTAACATCAAGTGATTGAAGGCCATGCTGGATTTAAATCTGCACTGAGGCAAGCTAGGACTTTGGAGTGTTTGGAAAAATAAACCATACCTTAGGTGCTAGGACATTAAATCTCAAATATGGACTCCATATGTTCTGTTTTGTTTTTAAATGTGTTTTCCTCTATGTTGTGCTTGACGTTAGCCGGAAGAGCAGTTTTAGCAACAGCTCAAATTTTGCTCAGTTATATTAATATAAAACTGAAATATCTAGTGACTTTCCACTCCAGATCTATGTCAGACAGACAAAGCAGAATTTGTCCTAATGCAAGCAAATTCATACATTGCGTTCAGCATTTTCAGAGGTATCTGACTGATCTAGGAATACAAATTCCATTGATTTTCAGTGGGACTCACATTACTGAATCATTTTAGGTACATTTGAAGGGTCTATTGTTTTTGCACATTTCTTTACACTCGCCCATATCTGTGAAGGCATTAACTTTGCATTTACACTTCAAAAGAAGTCAAGTGGAGGTCAGGCTTAGCTAGCTATGTTGCCTACACTTGATCTTCTCTTTCCTAGTCAAGGGAAACCTAGACAGCTAAGCCACCAGGCATGATTTATTCATGGCAAGACAGTACTAAGAGTGAGATACAAAGATTAGAGATCTTTTTACAGATAACAATAAGAAAAAAAAAACAATTTTTTTCAAGAGCAGTTCAGAAGTATTTTATCATTCCTTGCTGCTGTCTGCTGGATGTCTGAATCTTTAGTTTAAGTACTAATAACATATTTAGATTTACAACATGGAGGCTATGCCTTCCCTGCAGAGAAGCGGAGAGTACTGGCACTGGCTTAGCTTGGAGTAAATAGTCCCGTTACAAAGCCGTCTTGGCTTACAGCCATGTACAGTACTCCATGTTCAGCGGGGACTTCTGAGGGCCTCACTTTGGTTCCTAACACTGAAGTCTGCCCCTTTTCTACTGTTTCCCAGTAATTGTAGGAGAACACAGGCACTAAGGGACTAAGCCTTCAGAGAGTTTAGCCTGCATCCACAGTGGGCAGCAACAGTAAGTGGCACTCAGGCTTTGATCTGTATGGCAAGATGGATCTGCTAGCTCAGGTGTAAATTACTAACATATATCTGAGCTTGAGTTTTGCATATGTGCAGTTGGAAATCAAATGCGGGGCAACATCTGAGTTAATACTGAAGTAAGGACAAACTCAGATATATCAAGAGAGTATAACTAATTATAGAAAGCCACCCATGAGAAAACAGCAGTAGGAAGTGTGTTAACCACATACCACTTCTGCCACCAAAACGTCAATGAAGTGCTTATCTCAAAGCCTAATAAATAAATTATTTATTAGGCAGGGGAAGTCTAAAGGCT